GGTGAGTTTACAACTCACCTTATTCAGTTTTGTTTTTGTTCTTTTAACTGGAATCTCTAGCTTCAGTTTGTTTATCCCATGAGGTTGTCTTGAATAATCTTGGATCACTGTTCAATTTGAATCCTTCCCCATTCTGCATTATATTGAGCCTTAGTTCTTCAAACTTGTTTTATAATTTCATTTATAAACTTAGTCTTTTAATGCTTTTCAACCTGACCCCACCTCCTTTAGAAATGCTAGTCTCTTTACTTTGCTTCCAAACATGTAATAAATTGTTCCTCTTTGGACTCTAACCTTCTTAAAGGTGGGGAATTGTGTCTTATATTTCTGTGTATATGTAGGGCCAGAGAGCACACTACTTTGTAGTTCCTCCTTAAAGTCTGATACAATTGACCTTGGAATGTCCCTGCCAATCATAATTCCCTAGCCAGGTCTCTAATCAAGTTTATAGATAGAGTTCCTCCCTTCTTTGTTATTTTGTTATCAATCTCTAGCATTGTTACATTGTAACATAGGTTACTTTGTATTACAGATTATCTGTTTACTTGATTCTCCCACCACACTTTTGTATGTCTTTGATTCATAATGGCAGGAGTTATCTGTGAGTTTCTAGGAGTTGGAGAGTGTCATATAATTCCTGATGAGCCTTGAACAGACTAGATTTGTGCCAGACAAGAGGCTCTCCTAGGCTTTCAGGTGGCCGGTATTGTATTTAAGTAGAGACTTATTATGTTAAAATGCACAATCTCAAAGGTTTAGGCAGAGAAGAGCGCTGGAAGAATTTCTGACCATAGAGCAACTTTGACAAACTCATTCCAGTTCTGACATCCTGAGTTTCCTCTAACTTTTCGAATTCTCTGTTACTGTCACTGACAAAACCATTTTGCTTAGTACTCAGTCATTCATTTAATGACTTGTAGGCCCTAAAAAGAAATAGATGCTAAAACACCTAAGCTATTATTAAATCTGTTCTGTAAGCTTTACCTAAAATAGAAAGTTAGGAAATATTTAGTGTGAAAAGCTTTGTTTCTGAAAATGTGATCTTCAGGGGGTACAGAGGATCTATGTAGACCAATCTATTATTCCACTTATGTTTCAGTAAATTTCTCTTTGTGGCCAGTAGTGCAGAAAGTACTAGGTTTTGTTGATTTGAACTTAAAAGTTTCTGGGACTTGTACAGTATAGCGATTATGTTTAATGTACTAAATGATACATTGGTTCTTTGTAGTGCTTAATTAAATGCATGAAATAACTTTACTGAGAGAAGATTTGACTGTAGGTTTGTCTAGATAACAGCTTTACTTCACTCTCTGCCTTTTGTTTTTTCTCTTTAGAGATTTCCTGCCCTGAAGGGGGAATTGTATATTTCTTTAAAAAAAAAATTTTTTTTTTAAGATTTTTATTGGGGAATTGGGGGATGGGAACAGCACTGGGGAATTGGGGGAAGGGGAACAGATAAGTTGCTGTCGTTTTGTTCTTCAGTCTAGTTGTGGAGGACGTTGCTTCACTGGCCCAAGTTGGCACCATCTTTGCGCTCTTCCTGGGCGAGGCAGATCAGTTGCCGGCTTCTGGACGGCCGCTCACCGCAGCTGCTGACGCTGGCTGCTGGCTGCACACGGTAGCCCATGGCAACCCACTGCCACAGGGGCTGCAGCCTATGCCATTGCCGGCGACTCAAGGCAGCCCAGCTCCAGGTTGAGCTGCTGTTCACCATCTTAGCTGTAGAGGGCAGTGTCACTGGCCCTCATATGTGGGATCCGAACCAGGGCCCTCTGGCGTCCCAAGCCAGTTCTTAACCAACGCGCCGCTTGGCTGGCCCAGGAATTGTATATTTCTACTAACCTTTTGAATGTTATTTTTTTAGAAATATCAACCTTTGAAACTTTTGAAAAATAGAAACTGTTAAAGGACAAAAATCCAACTGAGTAAATTTAAAGATCTAGTTGGTTTTATTGAACAATTCATGAATTGGACAGCATCCCATCTAGTAAATTGAATGGTGCTCTGAGGAGGGAGAGGCTGAAACTATAATTAGGTATTAAGTCTTGGTGGGCTTACCACACTGACCCCATTTGGGGTCTGTTGTTTCTTTTGAACAAAAGATAGTAAGGGAATATAATCAGCTGTGTTTGTGCTTTTCAAAAGATATTTTCTGTAGACTTAATGATTGTATAGCTTGACTCCCTCTGTGTGCAGATGAAGAAACTGAAGCACAGAGAGTATCCACAATTTGCTCAGTTATTAATGGTGGAACTAGACTAGAGCCCAAACGTCTGGAGTAAAATTCAGTACTCATTTCCACCAGCAGTGGTGACCACTTCTAATTTAAACTGTTGATCAAAAATGAAACATTTTTGAATTGAAAATTGGATTAAAGCATTTGTGATATGGAAATCTACTTTTTTATTTGGTAAAGGTAAGGTGCTTATTCTCTGGAGCAATGGTATTGGAATCAGGGAAACCTTTACTTTTTAATGGCTCACTTGATTGCTGATTAAGCTTATCTAAAAATTTGATTAATTCTACATAGTTTTTTTAAATCTAAAAATATCTGAAAAAGTAAGTCACTATATTGTATATTGTTGCCTTATGTAGCAGTTTTGAGTTGAAGATACCATAACATAGCCTTAGAAATAGTGTGTCTCCATAGTATTCTGAAAGAAGATATTTTTATAGAAACCCCAGGTTTTTAACATCCAATGTTTAACCAGATTGTGTTCAGGGGTTTTTGTTTTGTTTTCTTGGCGGAGAGGGTGAGGTTGGAGGGGAAAGAGGGGATGAATACAAAGGTATCCTTGTTCCCTTTGAATTTCACCTTTTTGAAGTGGTCGGTGTTTAGTGACTGGGCTGCCACTATTGTGGTATCCTCTGGCCCAAGTGTATACCATACTTCATTCCCTTTCTTTCACCTTTGAACAACTAAGAAAGGCTATGGCTTATAAGACTTTAGTACTACAGGAGAAAAACCATGGGATAAGTAGAGAAAATAGAGGCACAATGGCAGTATGGATTATAAAGTGATTGTTCTCTTGTCTTGAGTGGCCTGCCCTATTCTTCATGTTGTCTGAGATAGCTCCGCCAAAGAGGGGGAACAACTTCAAGACTTTTTGCTGGAATTTCTAATCCCTGGCTTTTGACCTGTTCACAGATGGACAGCTACTTTTCACATCCCATCACCCAGTAGCTTCCTCTCAAACACATTAATGATCAAGACCAAAAAAAGTCAGATTTCTGATCTGCATTTCATCCCTGTGCCTTTCTTATTTGTTTGGTTTCAGTTTTCTGAGAGACACACCTATTCCCCGGGAGACTGCTGGTAAACCATCTCAATCTTAAATAAGAAACAACCTTTGCAGCATCATTAATAGAACTACTATACTTTCAAGAATACACTATTGGTAACAGTCATACTGTAAGAGTTTATGCAAACTCTTATCAAGTTTTGCTTCTTATTATTCCAATATAACTCTTAGGCATAGTCATATTTATAAAAAATATTGGTAGTTTTTTATAAGGTTGTATATTAAGTACAGGAGCTTCTAATTTTCTACAATTGTTAAATATTTTATCATTACCACTTGATATAAATGTACCCTTGGGACACTCTTTGGAAAAGGATCAGAACCATTAAAACACTTTTTAGATGAAATGGAGTAATAATAGCTCATGCTGAAGAACAGTGGAAGAAACCAAATGCTTTGTATTTGGTTTAAGGGGAGCTTATTGGAGACATCCTGCTATTTTGAAATATTTCCTGTTTAATGAGTGTTTGTAACTCTCTCTTTAGTTTATATTGTTTGTGAAATTATAAGGTAATAAGACTTCTTGACCTTCTGCCTCAAAATATGTTACATATTGCCTGGCTGCTTCTATTGGTACTGTAAACTGCTAGAAATGACTGGCTATTCTGTTAAACTGTAAGTTTTCAGATTTTAAGATGCCATTTGCAGTGCTGTTTTTTTTTTTTTTTTTGGCGAATAACCTATAAATCTAGTTTCAACTGCCTTGTAGACTTGACTGCCTCAAGCATAAAGGGGGTATAAAAAGAAACTTGCTATCTCAGCAAGTTGAAAATAATTTTCTCTTCTCACAGCAGCATTTGCTAAATCAAGTAAAAATTGCATAGTAACATTTTAAGAATCATAAAACTATAACTATATTACCTTTTTTGGCTTATGTTTTCTCCTTTTGACAATAGAATATTGGCATTTTGACTTATGTTACAGTTAATCCCACCTATCTCGAAATTCTGACATTTTGAAAGGTGTAGGATTTGGAAGTAGCTGAAGAACACTTTACTTCCAGATAATTTTTACAAGAAGCAGACTGCATTCCCAGCAATACACAAATTTTCATGTAAAAATTGGGAAACATTTGTGAAGTCATAGAATGGCAAAGAAAAGCAGAGAAGAGAGGGCAAGAAATGTGTGGTGATAATGGAAAGTATTAAGGATGTCAAATGCATGATACTGAGGCAGAAAAGGAGCACATTGGTAAAGTAGAGAATGAGGGAAGAACTCATCAAACTACAGGGCTGGACTGAGCCTCCATGTACCTTAGTACTTAACCCTGTGACACCTGTGACACCCACTCAGTGGGTGTGAGTCTGTGTACACATGTCAGTGCTTCTCACATATTACAGATGTACAGCCGTTATAGTAGAGACAAATTGCTCCCCTCACCCCTCATCTGGTTGGGCACCTCATAGCTACCCAGCAAGGCTTCTTGCTGTGGCAGGCACTCTCTTTAGTATAGTGCTACTGAAGGTATGCTAGTTTTTATAACAATAGTCAGGCATAATGCAGAGAAATATGGAACCATATACAGTAATGTCCGTACTGAATTACATGTAATAAGTCTATATGCCTTTTATACACAAGGCACTGTGTTTTTTGTTGGGATGATGTACAAGACAGGCAGAATTTGAACGTGTTCCACATTGGTGTTTTCCTTTCAGGGTGTTGGTGAAAGCAGTGAACTCAGACTTGGGCGGTCTGGAGGGGTTCCCAGCACTAATGATGTAAGAAGCAGAGCATGGTGTGTATGCCACCTTACAACACGGTGCCTGGTCTCTGTCCCGGGAAAAGGCAAGGTGGATTCATGGACACACTCGTTCAGCACATCATCACTGAGCATCTGGTCGTGGCAGGAACTTGCTTTCTGATGCAGTCTTGTGGGGAGAAAGCCACTAATGACATAACTAAGCACATTGCATCTGTGGACTTTGCTAGAGAGGAGGAGGGATGGGTGTGCCAGAGCTCGTAGAAAGGGGGGTTTGCTGTCAGAGAATGCTCCCTGAGAGCCAGAGTTACGTCAAGTGGGAATTAGTAACCCACGGAAGAGGAAAGCAGCCTATGCAGGGGTCATGACAGCAGGGAGCTTGGTGGGTGCAAAGATCTGAAGGGCCAGGATGGCAGGAGGGCAAGACAGGCAGTGTAGTGAGACGGGGCTGAGAGGTACCCAGCTAAATCGTGTGGCTTGGGCCTTGATGACACGGTAACTTTGTTTTTATTCTGGAGGCGATAGAAATCCCTTGCAAAGTTTTATAGGGATGAGAGGGCTGAAGTCGGGATGACCATAGTTTTGAGGTAACCTTGCATTGAAGGAAGTGGGCCAGAGCTGGGCAGGAACAGATGGATGGCGTGGTTGCGATGGTTCCGATGGACAGCAGTAGGTAGAGTTCAGATGTCCAGGCGGTAAAATGGACCAGACTTCCTGATGCATTGGATATGGGAGTGAGGGAGAAAGACGAGCCCAGCGGTTGCATACCTGAACAGACTCGATAGGGACTCAGGAGGGGCCGCAGTTTTGAGGGGTAGGTCATGCACCCAAGTTGGACATTATTTGAGATTAATCATGTAAAACAAGATTCCAGCTAGGTGTTAGGAAACACTATTCTTGCACTTAGAAGAGAAGACTGGATTAGAAATATAAAATCAGAGCTATTGGAGTAAGCTGGTGATCGAAGCAGTGTGTGGCTGCGCTGTCCAGTTTGGTAGACATTAACCACGTGTGTCCGCGGAACCCTTGAAATGTGCTAGTCCAGATTCAGATGTACCGTAAATGTAAAATACACACTTAGCTTGGGAGACTTAGTACAAAAAGGGAATGTACGTATCCCGTTAATTTTTATATTGTTTACATATTGGACTGATGTTTTCAATATATTATATTAAAATATACTGTTAAATTAATTTCACCTGTTTCTCTTTTTTTAACATGAGGCTACTAGAAAATTGTAAATTACATATGTGGTTTGCATTATATTTCTGTTAGCACTGACTTTGAGTAAGAGGGAGCTAGTGTGCAAGCACTGAGAAATTTCAGCATTTTTAATAGAGAATTAGCCTTTACAGAGCTGCCAGAGAAGGGAAAAAGCATAGGAATGTGTTGTAAAAAATGCTGATTTTTCTAAAAGAGAAAATGGACATATTTTTAAGGGTTCTGTGACAAGATTATTTGATTAGGTCATATTAATTTGCTGACTTGCTGATATTAGAGATTCAGATTTTAAAACAATCTTTATAAATTTAGATACCTGTAGGTCCATTCTTTTAATTATTCTGAAGTTCCCCTAAGCACCTCTAAATATAAAATGCAGTAGCAGCTTTTCAGAAGACACTCTTTTGGGGATATTAAGTGAGGATGTTAAGAAAAAATATTTTTATTTTACTAAATTCCTAAGCAGAACCTTGAAAAGTTTGAAAATTAATAAAGGTGGATTTTGTAAAATATGAAACATTAAATATAAGTATTGATGGAAAAACTTGCTAAATAAAGCCAACATTTTATAATGGATTCTGGCATTGCTTCAGTTTAAGTTTCCTTTTAAGAGAGAAATAGAGGTGTACCTAAGTATCCAAAAAGTTGATAGGTAATCATGATAAAGTTAATGAAATAATTCTTCCTTTTGCCATAAATATATTCTAAGTTTGCATCCAGAGAAATAAATGACTATTTGGTTTTTCTAATTAGTTAAAATAGTTTGATTGACACCTTATTATTTTGTAAGCTCTTATAAAGCAAAGATCAATTGTTTTTATGTTTTCATAGTATTCCTAGTATTTAGCAGGGTGTGATGTACACAGTAGACACTTAAATGATTGTGGAATGAATGTTAGCGTCATCTTAATTAGTGTTAGTATCTTTCATTATATTGCTTTTGTATTCTCAAGGAACATGAAACTTGTTCAAATTTTTTTAGAGGAGAAATTTATTTCTGAAATGAAAGTTGTGAAATTAAAATGCAGTTTTATGAAAAAATTAATCTCTACAGAAATTTGGGAAATAACCTGTTATGTATAAAAGCTTTCTCTGCTTAGTGATATTCTAGCTGAATACAAACTCAAGTATATATTTGTATTTAGTTAGATGCAAATTTTGAAATATGTTGATTAAATTTTTTTGCTTGTGACAACTGTTTCTGTAGGGGCTTTGAAATGTTCTCTCTCAAAGCAATGTTAATAGAAGCTATTTTCAGTAGTTTGGTAAATTAATGAATTTATCCTAGGTCCTAATTATTTCTTTACACATTTGATATTTTATGAAATGCTACCATTTTTTTCTTTTTTGATATTTCAGAATTGCTTATGTCAGAGAGTCCCTGATTAGGAAGGCATTAAGATGAAGAGATTGTAATTCATTCTAGGGCCTTTGATGGGGCAGGAAAGTAGGCATGTAGGTGCTTTGCAGTCTAGCAATCTGACATAAGGTTCCAGTCCACTGGGGTGTTTGTTACCTAAGGACCCTGCCAAGCACAGGTTGCTCTTTTGTTAACTTTCAATTATAGACACCAAAACAGACCATGTGGATGTTACTAATTAGGACACAAACCACGTGAAATAGGCTCCTTCTCTGCCTTTCCTCAGTTCACCATGCTCAGAATGGCAGGTACTAGGGACTCTTTGTGCCTGAGCTGAGAGCCTGAGATGGTATGTGGGCTTCTACTCCTAGGGGTTTGCCATGAGCTTTTGTCTAGGCTCCCTGCTGAGTTATACTGATATTTCTCCAGGGTTGTGTTGATCTGCCTTCTTTCTTCAGTTGTGCTTCTTGAAGAGGGTTGGGTAAGGTTAGCACCCAGGACCCAACAGAATCTTCTTTGGTTGCTACGTTTTGAAGTTTTACAGAATCAGGATGTATTTTTTCTTATTTTATTGATGCTGATAAATTTTTTAACTGCTTTTTCTGGTTGCAGTTATTTGCTTTGTTTTTATTGTTTTTTTATTGTTCATTTAATTAGTTACATATTCATGAGAAATATGTATAAGCGTGTATTAATTAGGAGTGTCTTTGATAATTAAAAATTGATAAATAATGAAAATATTATATATACATATATTATCAACAAATTTTTCACTCAGTGATACTGTTCAAATTATGGTAAAGGTGCATGAATTAGTATGAATGAATGAGGCACTATTTTTTTTTAGCCCTTCATACTTTTTGATACAATGTACTTGTTAATATTATTCTTTTTAAAAATTATATTATTTTTAGTGATAATCTTATGTCTGTAAAGGACTTTTCAGCTTGCAAAGCCCTCCTTTCCTAGTTATATGTTATTCCATTATAAGTTGTAGTATGTATGAATTTATCATATTTACTTATAAAAGAGGATTGCAAACCTTGGTTTAATTATATTGGTGATACCATGTACGGCATATCAAAGAACGGTCATGTTTGTCATGAGATAATCACTGTTTTATGTATTTTGTAACATACTTTTATTTATGAACGAATATGAACTCATATTAGTTTTATTGTTGTTATGAGACTTATTTGGGCCATTATCAGATTGGCTAACATGGTTTGCATTATTCCTGCCTCAGCATGTTTTCATGGAAAATAAAATTGAATTGGACTGTTGGTGGTCCTATAAAATGTTTTACCTTATCACAGTAATTTTGATGTGTAAATTGAATTGTTTATAGTTATTGGTAATGCTTTAATGCTTTCTGCAAAAGTACATTTTAAAAATGTATGATTGTAGATTTCTGTGTGTTTAAGACATGTACTTTAAAAGTGGAAAAATAGACCAATATTTGACTGAAAGCGGCTGTTATATTCCGCACGCTTGTTTGTTGCTGTCCTGATCGGCCTGGTGTCGCCCTGCAACTCCGATTTTCCCCCTAAGCACCTAGTATGTATTACCTAACAGGTGAGCGGGAAGCCTGGGAAAGTGCTGCCAAAAACCAGACTTGCAAGCTTGAATCAGTTTGCGTTTGAAACTGATATTAATAAGTAATGTGATTTTGAATAGTTAACATTTTATATTAGAATTATTAGTTAATTAGAACTGATTAATTAGAATTACATTCCCAAACTGGATTATCCTGAAGGATAACTGCAAAAAAGAAAATAGTTACAAAGACACCACTATGCATGCTTGATCTTCAGTTAGATTTGTACCTGCTTCCTGAGAAGCAGTATGGTTGGCGGTTAAAGGCATGGGCTCTAAAGTCTAGCTCTCAGCCAGGTTCACTCCTGGTTCTGTTGCTGTTCAGCTATGTCCTTGAGCCCGTTAATTAACTGCTTGTTGCCTCTGTTTGCTTGTCTGTTAAATGGTGCCAATTGTAATGCCTAGCCCATATTATAATTATGAGGATTAATGAGTTAATACCCACAAAGTGCTTAGAACACTGCTTGTCATATGCTGAGCACCCACTACAGATTCACAGTGCTTCATGTGCTTTGCAAATATGTGGATTTCAGATGTGTCACTTTTGGAAAAAGTTGATGTCCTTACTCTATTTTAGAATACCTTATGTAGTCTCTAAAAGGATTACTTTGATAAAGACAAAATTTTTATGTTGTGTGGATTTTGAATCGTGTAATAAAGTATATCTTATCATTTGGTAATCTTATTAGCATCTCAAGTTCAAGATAAAATGGTACAGATAAAATATTTCGTATAATATTATTTCACTTAATGGAAAGACTAGAAAGACATTTGAAAAAGGAAAGTGTCACTATTCAGTTTCTTACTGTGAATGCTAATTTAGTAAGCCTCAGACGCAGAAA